GCCGGAGAGCAACGTGCAGGTGTTTTCGATCATGGACAGTGGTCAGTTTCCGCCGTTGCTGAGCATCTTTTTCGCCGCACACGGCTCGCCATACCGATCAGCGGTTGTGCTGCAAGGTTATTTGGAAATGTATCGCCAGGAGCTGGAAAAGGACATGGGAGTCGTGGCTAGGATTATTGAAGTGAGCATCGATCCGTGCGCCGAGGAGTCATGCGGTGACGGCTGCATGAACAACGTGACGACGCTGCCTCAGCCGATTGTAGTCAATGCGAACAAGACCGTGTTGGTTGGTCCCACCATGAGCGTTAGCCCGATCTGTGGCTGCCCTCTTCGCTACGTGCCAAATGGCTGTCAGGCAGATTCGTGTTACAACAACGGGATATGCCACGACACCCTGTCTCCGTTTTTCTTGTAAGTATCGTATTTACCGTATGTCCATAACTTCGTGCGGTACTCGTGTTTTCATTGATCCGCCCTCAGTCTGAGCATTAAAGGGCGTTTCAATTTAAAGATTGTGGACAATATAATTTCTCCATATCATCTATATTATGCAGATTTGTCGCAGTCTTTACATGCAGTCTAGCAGTGTTTTATGAGCTGTTAAATGTATTGATCATACTGATATATCGGCAGTCCTTCGAAACTTTGATGGTAGAAAATAGAGAGTATAAAAGAGCCACTGAAAATCCCTATGTCCGAAGCATTAGTTTTGTAACCATTGTCTTAGAAAATATTGATGAGCAGCTCAAGTTCAGCGTAACCGTGATCACTCAGCAAAGCGACAGGGTCAGGTTGTTGGCCAGAGAGGTACTGCTCAATTCTGCGAACAAAAACAGGATGTGCGGCATCAGCTCGTTTAATATCTGTGAACTGAGCAGCTTGAATAATATCCTTTTGTATCAGCGAAGCTTAATGCTGTCTGTCATTTCAGTTAACTGTTTTGCCCTGATGATAGCCGGCGTTGCTCTGCTAAACTGTTGGCTGTAAAACAGACTTCAACATCGTTTAGATACTTTTGCGTGTACCTATCGAATTCTAATCAGGTTCCTCTTCTTGTGGCGTGAAGGTAGGGCATAGAAGCAGTATCATTTGTTACTGTTCTATAGCAACGATGCGAAAGAATTTTATTGGCATTGGCAGCGAAGCGTTTCTAGGGTTTTGTAACCGTTTTTAGATTCTTATTATTTCATAACTGTTAATTGTATTTTGACTTGACGTTTTGCAAGTGGCCTTCGCATGCACCATCGTAGAAAGTTGACTTCCATCAGAGTCTGTTCGTTTCAGCTGCGAGTGCCGAGGTCAATTCAAGGGACCAAGATGCGAAGGTCAAACGCGTAGTTTCAGGGATGGCGGCTGGGCATGGTACAGGCCGATTGAAACGTGTACTCAGTGGAACCTGTCGCTGGAGTTTTTGACCAAGTATTCCTCGAAAGTCTGAATTCTAGTTTTCTTGCCATTTTAAATGAAACGTTTGCAGGAGCGGAGATGGACTTATTCTGTATAACGGTCCTATCGCGCTTAATCGAACGTTCGACGTGTTCCTGAAGGATTTCTTCGCACTGCAGATTAAGTTCGGTAAACTGGTTATAGATTACGATCTTGGTGGAGAACCAGCGACTGTGAGTTTGGCGGACGGTCCGAATGTGAACGATGGTGAATGGCATAAGGTGTCCGTGCACGCTTTTCGACAGGCATGGCTACGCTTGTTCGTTACCTCTATACTATTTATTTGCTGCAGAACATCGAAATGGTACTCGACGATTGCCGTAAGGTGATTGATGCTGGACCTGACATTGCTGCCAACGACAAGGGCTGCTTTAAAAGCGGACGGGCGAACTTGGACAACGACCAGTTCAACGTCAAAATGCCCTTACAGCTCGGCG